TACAACAAATGCTAAAGGAACTTCTCTAGACAAAAACACAAGAGAATCACAAGAGAAGGAAAAGACCTACAATAACAAACCCAAAACAAGTAAGAAAATGGTAATAGGAACATACATATCGATAACTACCTTAAATGTAAATGGGTTAAATGCTCCAACCAAAAGACACAGACTGGCTGAATGGATACAAAATCAAGACCAATATATATGCTGTCTACAAGAGACCCACTTCAGACCTAGGGACACATGCACACTGAAAATGAGGGGATGGAAAAAGATATTCCATGTAAATGGAAATCAAAAGAAAGCAGGAGTAGCAATTCTCATATCAGACAAAATAGACTTTAAAACAAAGACTAGTACAAGAGACAAAGAAGGACACTACATAATGATCAAGGGATCAATCCGAGAAGAAGATATAACAATTGTTAATATTTATGCACCCAACATAGGAGACCCTCAATACATAAGGCAAATACTAACAGCCATAAAAGGGGAAATCGACAGTAACGCAATCATACTAGGGGACTTCAACACCCCACTTTCACCAAGGGACAGATCATCCAAAATGAGAATAAATAAGGAAACACAAGCTTTAAATGATACATTAAACAAGATGGACAACTGATATTTATAGGACATTCCCTCCAAAAACAACAGAATACACATTCATCTCAAGTGCTCATGGAACATTCTCCAGGACAGATCATATCTTGGGTCACAAATCAAGCCTTGGTAAATTTCAGAAAATTGAAATCATGTCAAGTATCTTTTCCAACCACAATGCTTTGAGACTAGATATCAATTACAAGAAGAAATCTGTAAGAAATACAAACACATGGAGGCTAAACAACATTCTACTTAATAACTAAGAGATCACTGAAGAAATCAAAGAGGAAATCAAAATAAAACCTAGAAGCAAATGACAATAAAAACACAACGATCCAAAACCTATGGGATGCAGCAAAAGCAGTTCTAAGAGGGAAGTTTATATCTATATAAGCCTACCTTAAGAAACAAGAAACATCTCAAATAAACAACCTAAACTTACACCTAAAGCAATTAGAGAAAGAAGAACAAAAAAGCCCCAAAGTTAGCAGAAGGAAACAAATCATAAAGATCAGATCAGAAATAAATGAAAAAGAAATGAAGGAAACGATACCAAAGATCAATAAAACTAAAAGCTGGTTCTTTGAGAAGACAAACAAAATTGATAAACCATTAGCCAGACTCATCAAGAAAAAAAGGGAGAAGACTCGAATCATTAGAATTAGAAATGAAAAAGGAGAAGTAACAACGGACACTGCAGAAATACAAAGGACCATGAGAGATTACCAGAAGCAACTCTATGCCAATAAAATGGACAACTTGGAAGAAATTCTTAGAAATGCACACCTTCTGAGACTGAACCAGGAAGAAACAGAAGATAAGAACAGACCAATCACAAGCACTGAAATTTAAACTGTGATTAAAAATCTGCCAACAGACAAAAGCCCAGGACCAGATGGCTTCACAGGTGAATTATATCAAACATTTAGAGAAGAGCAAACACCTATCCTTCTCAGACTCGTCCAAAACATAGCAGAGGGGGCTTCACTGGTGCCGTAGTGGTTGAGAGTCCTCCTGCCAATGCAGGGGACACGGGTTAGTGCCCCGGTCTGGGAAGATCCCACATGCTGAGGAGCAGCTAGGCCCGTGAGCCATGGCCGCTGAGCCTGTGCATCCAGAGCCCGTGCTCCGCAATGGCAGAGGCCACAACAGTGAGCGGCATGCATACTGCAAAAAAAAAAGAAAAAAATCAGAGGGAGGAACACTCCCAAACTCATTCTACGAGGCCAACATCACTCTGATACCAAAACCAGACAAGGATGTCACAAAAAAAGAAAATTACAGGCCAATATCACTGATGAACATAGATGCAAAAATCCTCAACAAAGTACTAGCAAACAGAATCCAACAGCACATTAAAAGGCTCATACATTATGATCAAGAGGGGTTTATTCCCAGGAATGCAAGGATTCTTCAATATATGCAAATCAATCAATGTGATACACCATATTAACAAACTGAAGGAGAAAAATCTTATGATCATCTCAACAGATGCAGAGAAAGCTTTTGACAAAATTCAACACCCATTTATGATAAAAACCCTCCAGAAAGTAGGCATAGAGGGAACTTTCCTCAACATAATAAAGCCCATATATGAGAAACCCACAGCCAACATCATCCTCAATGGTGAAAACCTGAAACCATTTCCACTAAGATCAGGAACAAGACAAGGTTGCCCACTCTCACCACTATTATTCAACATAGTTTTGGAAGTTTTAGCCACAGCAATCATAGAAGAAAAGGAAATAAAAGGAATCCAAATCGGAAAAGAAGAAGTAAAGCTGTCACTGTTTGCAGATGACATGATACTATACATAGAGAATCCTAAAGATGCTACCAGAAAACTACTAGAGCTAATCAATGAATTTGGCAAAGTAGCAGGATACAAAATTAATGCACAGAAATCTCTTGCACTCCTATACACTAATGATGAAAAATCTGAATGTGAAATTAAGAGAACACTCCCATTTACCACTGCAACGAAAAGAATAAAATATCTAGGAACACACCTACCTAAGGAGACAAAAGACCTGTATGCAGAAAATTATAAGACACTGATGAAAGAAATTAAAGATGATACAAATAGATGGAGAGATATACCATATTCCTGGATTGAAGAATCAACATTGTGAAAATGACTCTACGACCCAAAGTAATCTACAGATTCAATGCAATCCCTATCAAACTACCATTGGCATTTTTCACAGAACTAGAACAGAAAATTTCACAGTTTGTATGGAAACACAAAAGACCCCAAATAGCCAAAGCAATCTTGAGAAAGAAAAATAGAGCTGGAGGAATCAGGGTTCCTGACTTCAGACTATACTACAAAGCTACAGTAATCAAGACAGTATGGTACTGGCACAAAAACAGAAATATACATCAATGGAACAGGATAGAAAGCCTAGAAATAAACCCACGCACATATGGTCACCTTATATTTGATAAAGGAGACAAGAATATACAGTGGAGAAAAGATAGCTTCTTCAATAAGTGGTCCTGGGAAACCTGGACAGCTACATGTAAAAGAATGAAATTAGAGCACTCCGTAACACCATACACAAAAATAAACTCAAAATGGATTCAAGACCTAAACGTAAGGCCAGACACCATCAAACTCTTAGAGGAAAACATAGACAGAACACTCCATGACATAAATCACAGCAAGATCCTTTTTGACGCACCTCCTAGAGAAATGGAAATAAAAACAAAAATAAACAAATGGGACCTAATGAAACTTAAAAGTTTTTGCACAGCAAAGGAAACCATAAACAAGACAAAAGACAACACTCAGAATGGGAGAAAATATTTGCAAATTAAGCAACTGACAAAGGATTCATCACCAAAATTTACAAGCAGCTCATGCAGCTCAATAACAAAAAAGCAAACAACCCAATCCAAAAATGGGCAGAAGACCTAAATAGATGTTTCTCCAAAGAAGATATACAGATTGTCAACAAACACATGAAAGAATGCTCAACATCATTAATCATTAGAGAAATGCAAATCAAAACTACAATGAGGTATCATCTCACACCAGTCAGAATGGCCATCATCAAAAAATCTAGAAACAATAAATGCTGGAGAGGATGTGTAGAAAAGGGAACACTCTTGCACCATTGGTGGGAATGTAAATTGATACAGCCATTATGGAGAACAGTATGCAGGTTCCTTAAAAAACTACTCCTTAAAAAACTAAAAATAGAACTACTGGGCTTCTCTGGTGGTGCAGTGGTTGAGAGTCCGCCTGCCGATGTAGGGGACATGGGTTCGTGCCCTGGTCCGGGAAGATACAAATAGAACTACCATAGGACCCAGCAATCCCACTACTAGGCATATGCCCTGAGAAAACCATAATTCAAAAAGAGTATGTACCAAAATGTTCATTGCAGCTCTATTTACAATAATAGCCAGGACATGGAAGCAACCTAAGTGTCCATCAACAGATGAATGGATAAAGAAGATGTGGCACATATATACAATGGATTATTACTCAGCCATAAATATAAACGAAATTGAGTTATTTGTCGTAAGGTGGATGGACCTAGAGTCTAATCCCACTACTGGGCATATACCCTGAGAAAACCATAACTGAAAAAAAGTCATGTACCACAATGTTCATTGCAGCTCTATTTACAATAGCCATGTCTTGGAAGCAACCTAAGTGTCCATCAACAGATGAATGGATAAAGAAGATGTGGTACATATATACAATGGAATATGGTACATATATACCATGGAATGTTACTCAGCCATAAAAAGGAACGAAACTGAGTTATCTGTAGAGAGGTGAGTGGACCTAGAGACTGTCATACAGAGTGAAGTAAGTCAGAAAGAGAAAAAGAAATACCATATGCTAACACATATATATGGAATCTGAAAAAAAAAAAGAAAAGAAAATGGTCAGAAGAACCTAGGGACAAGATGGAATAAAGATGCAGACCTACTAGAGAATGGACTTGAGGATACGGGGAGGGGGAAGGGTAAGCTGGGACAAAGTGAGAGAGTGGCATGGACATATATACACTGCCAAACATAAAATAGCTAGCTAGTGGGAAGCAGCCACATAGCACAGGGAGATCAGCTTGGTGCTTTGTGACCACCTAGAGGGGTGGGATGGGGAAGGTTGGAGGGAGGGAGATGCAAGAGGGAAGAGATATGGGGACATATGTATATGTATAACTGATTCACTTTGTTATAAAGCAGAAACTAACACACCATTGTAAAGCAATTATACTCTAATAAAGATGTTAAAAGTAAAAATAAATAAAATTAAAAACATAAAATATTGTTCATTTTCAAAGTTCAGTCTTGTTATTACTCTCATTTGAACATTAAATGCTTGAAATCAACATAAAAAACTGGTATTAAAAACATTTAATAATTTTTACCTGAAACTTGAGCTTGCTCTCTCCCCCTTCCCGGTCTCGTTTATGCATATTCACCATTAAGGCTTCATAACAATCCTTCCAATAAAGTGCCATGCTCTCATGACCATCATAAAATGCATGGGTTTCATACTGCTTCATATAAGGTACAATCTTATAAAAAATATACATACGCAAAATTTAATGCATGCTTCCATAAAAATGATAATTTAGTAGAAAAACCCCACTCGAGAAAGATGAAACTTACATATTTTTCAATGTAAACTTGCCATTCCTTTGAACTGCAATATTCTTGAAAATCTTCGAAAAATGAAGAGCTTCCATTGGTAAAAGGTAAAGAAGGCAGATGCAAGTTCATGAAGAGAAGCTCATAAATTTTGGAAACCAGGGTACGGACAAGCGGAATCAGAAATGAGTATATTTCAGTCTGTTCCTTGATTGATTGACTTAGAACATGTTCCAGCTTCCCTAATATGTAACATGCTTCATCCTGATTTTCAATCACCTTGGTCTGAAGAAGGGTGTTTAGCTTAGCTGATGCCACTGCACAAACCTGGAGTAAAACAGTAAAATAAAGCAGATATTTAGTGATAACAAAGTTCTTTGGCTCCTCTTGAAGTTGCTTTTTAAAATAAATTATAAAAGTAACCCATGTTTAATTTGGAATATACAGAAAAGTTAAGAGGTTGATAATTAATCATCCCAACATCCACTCTACTCCTTCAGAGAGTTTGCAGGAATTTGGGGATGATTCCATCTGTAGTTCTAAAAGATATAAACCAAACAGAATATCCAACCCCTTGCCACAGTGACTGGTTCAGGTAACTCATCTTTCAGTCAACTCATGTCACTGTCTTTGTCACATGGATTCATTCAGGGATAGCTTTATCATGCAAAGACACAACTTTTATACAATAACTGTAAAGAACTGTGAAAGGGCTTGGATTTTATCAATACCTCATCTCCAAGTTGACAAGTTAGCCTACCATTGTTTCACAGATGCTGGCAGAAGAATGAGACTCCTGGATCACAGACCAAGATCTACAGCATTAGCAATAGCCAGAATATCAGCACTTGCCCTGTTCCCCAAAATGTAATTCCATGGTGAGAAATGAACAGAACTAGATGATGCCTGCACACCCAGTGGTTGCATTATAGGAGAGGAACCCCAAGCAAAGTGAACACAAGTCTTTTAAATTGGGTAGTAAGTGTACCTGAACGTTGCCTTGGAAGGAGACATTATCTTTATTATACTGGACAGTAAACAAACCTGCTTTTGCTCTGGAGGGAGACACCATCTCTATCTTCCCAAGCTGTTCTCTATACATGCGTCCTCAAAAAGACAGTTCATCACAAAGGCATCCAGTGTCTGTATTCACAAGAGATCCATGAAGAACTGTCTACCAACAATGACTCTAGGAAGAAGCACTCTCTTTCTCTGGTTATGAACAAGGAAGCATGTAGCCTTAATTGCTGCTGGCAGTGATTTTGTGACAATAAGGGCAGCCAGCTTAAGACAAGCTGACATGATGGAGAGCAATGCTGTGAGAACAGCAAACAAATGGAACTAGAGCCTTGACTGAATCATGCCTTAAACTCATCTTAGCTATGGAATTTTCAACTATATGAATCTTCTTAACTAAGTCAGCTTGCATTGATATTTCTGTTATTTGGAATCAAAAGCATTCTTATAGATAAAGGACAGTGAACAGGCAACTGAGTAAAGTTCCCAAGGAAAATACATATCTAGGTCACAAACCGAGGCAAAGGAATATGGTATATTACTCTTAAGCTCTGGCCTTAAACTCCATCCTAGAAAGGTAAATTGGTCACGAAGGGGCCTCCTTTCATCTAGACTAGAGAAAGATGGAAGTCTTAAAACCGAAACAGGACAAATGATATAAAGTGTCTCCTTCTCCCTTAACCCTATAACCCAATTTTGGATCATATTACTTTCAAAATAAAGAAAAGCAAGGGAAAGAAGGGAAGTATTAAAAACTGACATCACTTCAAGAATATATATGTGCCTATATACAGAATCTAAAAAAAAAAATGGTTATGAAGAACCTAGGGGCAGGACAGGAATAAAGATGCAAACGTAGAGAATGTACTTGAGGACAAGGGGAGGAGGAAGGGTAAGCTGGGACGAAATGAGAGAGTGGCATGCACTTATATACACTACTAAATGTAAAATAGATAGCTAGTAGGAAGCAGCCGCAGAGCACAGGGAGATCAGCTCGGTGCTTTGTGACCACCTAGAGGGGTGGGATAGGGAGGGTGGGAGGGAGACGCAAAGAGGGAGGAGATATGGGGATATATGTATATGTATAGCTGATTCACTTTGTTATACAGCATAAGCTAACACACCACTGTAAAGCAATTATACTCCAAAAAAGATGTTAAAAAAAAAAAAAAGAATATATGTGTACCAAAAGCTGATCTGAGCTGTATGCACATGTCTTTGCAGTCCAAGGCAACAATAAGGGATCTCAGGCAGTCTTTCCATGCAAGACTTAAAGAAGCAAACAGCATTGGAGGAAACAACCTCTAAGATGGCTCAAAACTTTAACTTTTCTACTTTTAACTTAAGCCTCTACTAGTGAAGCTTCTCTACCCTTCTCAGGTTTTCCCAAAATCCCTTTACTTTAGTCTTTGAATCTGACTAAAGCAGCTTATACCCAATAGAGGCCAACAAATGTGAGACAAAAGGTCATAAAATCTCATTATCCAGGAAATACCAATGTTAATATTCTGGGCTTTTTTGCTATATGTTTTTAAAAATACTATTCACATGAAAGGTTGGATATTCAGTGCTTTGCTTTTAAGTTAGTATCACAGTATTAAATAACTATAAGTTTATATGTTTACTTAAAATTATAAAGACACTTTCAGTGAGTACAATGATTTACTTACCACTGACTTAAATTTGGATACACACACACAACCCCCTGCCCCCACATAGATATGATAGCCCTGCCCTCACATTATAAAGAGTACTACATTATGGTCACCTGAGAAATGACAAAAAATACCTGGGCCCTAGTTCCCCTGTTTAATTACTGAGTGATGCCCCACACAAAGACTTTTTTTTTTTTTTTTTTTTTTTTTTTGCGGTACGCGGGCCTCTCACTGTTGTGGCCTCTCCCATTGCGGAGCACAGGCTACAGATGCGCAGGCTCAGTGGCCATGGCTCACAGGCCCAGCCACATATGGGATCCTCCCGGACCGGGGCATGATCCTGTGTCCCCTACATCAGCAGGCGGACTCTCAACCACTGCGCCACGAGGGAAGCCCACAAAGGCATTTTTAAAAAGCTCCTCTAGGTGATTTCATGTGTAGCTAGTGAAGAGAATCACTGGCGGAGCTAAGACAACTGAAGGAGCAGAAACCCAGACAATGCAGTGACCATATACTGCATCTAAATAAATGAACAACTTATTTAGTCCTGCTTTAAAGACAACCTGGGAAATCCTGGCATTTATGTGAAATCTCCTAATACTTAAATGCTGTCAATTAAACAATAATGTATGAGCCAAACAAAACAAATTTGCTGGCCAGATTCTTTTTGCAGGCAACTCTATTTAAACCCCTATATGGGAAGGGGTTCCTTCCCCAGCCTTTAACATGCACAACCTCAGGGAAATATGCTTTTATTCCTGAGAGAGTGAAATTAAACAAGTAGCTAGTGAGAAATACTATAGGTCACTAACTACTGGTTGATAGGATCAGTCTTACCTGTAGGTGCTGCACACTTTATTTATTTAATAAGTATTTATAGAGTCCTACTATGGTACAGGCACTGGATATTTAATCATGAACAAATTAAAACAGACATTTTACTTCTCCTTGGAAATCTCACCAAACACTGAGGGTGATCATGAGTGGAAAAAAACAGAGTTCTAATATCTAAAAAAAGAACTACCTGGTATGCTGGCTGCAAGGGCTTTAACAGCCACCAGACTCATATTAATAAAAAAGCCAAAAAAGTTACCTTTGTTCTATTTCTAGATGGAGAAAAAAAGAAAACTACAATGAACATCTATGTGTACAAATACTGTTTGGTATTTTAGATTATTACCTCAGGATATAGTTTTAGAGTAGAATTACCAGACAAAGCATATAATAACATTTTTTAAAGTTCTTAGTTCATATAATTTTCAAACTGTATTTAAAAGCTGTACAATTCATATTTTCATCATCCACATATCAGAATGTTTATTTTTTGTTTAGCTTTTCTGCTTTTTCCATGTTTTTTACAATGACGATGTGTTAACTTTATGATTAGGGAAAAAAACACTATCTTTAAAATGTAATGTGGGGAAATGAGTTTAATATAATTGTAAGAAAAATTAAAAAGAACACAAAATTATCAAAATATATGATGGTTTTAATCATCTGAAAAAATATATACAGAGAAAAAAACATTAAAATATTGACAGTTGTTTTCCCTTAGGCTATGGGATGAAGGATGTTTTATCTGTTTTTTCTCTTTATGTTTTTTGTGTACTTTCCAGAATGAGTATGTTTTCTTTAATGACTGGAAAAGACTATCTGTTGAAAAATATGGTCTTTTTAAAATAGGGCAACCTTATGGTATTTTAACCTCCTCATGTTCTTATCAATATTATAGCAAGTTTATATTAGAAACGATTATCAAAAGAAAATAAAAAGGGCCAGATAAATAACCATGCGATACATGTCATGATTAATCCAACTCAGGTAATCACAAGCATCCAATGTAAATAGAAAGATGACACACTAAAATCTGCATGGAACTTTCCCAACCTTTAAAATTTTTGAAAATAATAAATATTCTGTGGGTCCATCTTTTATTTATCTTTATAATAGAAACCTAGCACAATGCTAACACTTGGTAGGTATTCAGTAAGTGTTTAATAAATGAAGAAAAATGAGATAAATGTAAAACTGAGTTAGTGGATTATTAAGTACAGAAAAAGATTTTAACGGAACAATTTAAAAAATAATTTTCCTAAAAATGCAAGCCCTAAACTTCACGTGTATAAAAGTCTACGCAGGCTGTATAGCTCCTAGCTATACTAAATGTAGATGATGTGAGTAATGCCCTCTAATATAAGCTATATATAAATCCTCTAAAAGGAAACCTTAAATTATACTGAATCATAAACATCAGGAAAAAAGAATCGATTAGCTGCCTCTCAAGCTTCTTTCTCATCTCACAAAATTGAAACTAGAGTTAAAATCATGATATTTTTGAAACTAATTAAAAAATTAAAATGCTGAAAACATAATTGCCATTCAGTTACTGCACAAATTCCTATGTTGCATGTGAGTATATAAAATAACATAAAAGAATCGACAAACCTGCAAATTACCCCTTCCAATGAAGCCTAGAAGCATCTGGATTTGAATCTGTGAGAGTTTCACCCATTCTGGACTTTCAGAATACCAGACTGACAGACTGTTGAAGAGCAGCATCATATCCTCTAAAAGCTAACACAAAGGAAAAATTGAGAAATAAAAACATTCCATTTTTAAATCTACTGATGATGATTTTTCCCAACAGTAATACAAATCATAAATATTTCAAAACTAATTCAATGTTCAGTTGGTAAAAACCAAAAGAATTATCCTAGTAAGAGTAACTTAACAAAAGTAACTATCACATCTGCGACTATCACATCTTATCCATGTTTATCGCATCTGATTAAATATTAATGCTCTGAATAGAGGGGATACAAAATTTCTTTCTTTGAATAAAGTCCTTCACTACCAAAAAAATAATTTCAAAGAGATGTTACTGCACCTTCTCAGTCCACATGTTCGAATTAACTAGTCCCTCTGACTGCAGAAAGTCCTGTATGATCAGCATGAGTCGGAAAGCATTTTCAGCAGTTACTGGATTAAATTTTGCTTCTCTGTTTTCTGTGACTGCCCATTCTAACATCTTCTGTAGCAAACTAAGTATAAAACAAAGTCCTCTTAAAAGCATTTTAAATTTATAAAAATAACAGGTCACCAAAAAAATTTAAAAACCCAGCAACAACAAACCTTGTTATTTATTAATAGGAATGTACCTCCAAAGATACAGTATCACTGGCAGGTATAAGGCACTGTGGATGGAATTTAGTAATAATGAAGCAACTTTTTAATCTTTGGAGTACTTATCTTTAATATACCTAATATTAAAAGGCAAAGTAAAAGTTACCTGTTTGACTTGACCTTGAAAAAGCTATGAAAATAATTCACATTCCAGCCTCCATGAGATACTTAAAAGTTTCTTTCAAACTGAAATTGGAAATGTTAGGTAAGAAAGCCTTATGCCTTACAGAGAGTCTAGCCCTATGGAAAAACAAAAAAGTAATTCTGTTCTAGTGTGCTGTTGGTACAGTGTTCTATCATATGCAGGGAACTCAAAGCTTTAGAGAAGTAATTTTCATGAAAACACTACTACCTTCCTTTAGCATGGAAGCACTCAAATTTGGACATGACCGTAGAACACATGCACCAAGTGCTTAGATACTGCAGAAAACAACTTAAACAAGGAATATATAATCACTTAGAATCCAAATTAATATAAGAATTAAATCTCCTCACATTGGAGTTAGTTTTGGATTTCTCTCTAGATCCCACTAGGATGGCAACAGACAGGAGAAGGGCTGAGCACAAAGCTTCTCCTTTTCTCTCTCTCTATATCCAGTGAATACTGAATAAAGGTTCAATAACAAACATTATTTTGGACTCCTGCCCACTCTAAAAGGGGAGGGCATATCACCAACTGAATGCTTACATTAGTTTTATTTCATCTGATGGTCGAAGTAGCTCACTGGATATTCCTGGTTTAGTTAGTGCCGAAAACACTTGTCCCCGTTCAATCCAAGTATCATCATCAGACTTTTCTAGTCCCTTACACATTACACAGTTCAAAATATTTGTCAGTAACTGAATAAGCTCTTCCTCACACCTCTATAAAAAAAGAGAAAGTAATATGAAATTATTAGAGGGAGGGGGTGTTAAAAGCACATCATGAGAACCATCAGGTACATGAATTATAATCATTCAACATATTTTTAAGGTGGCTGCATGAACCTGGAACTTTACTACGAAGGCCCTAGAGATGTAAAGATGAATAAGACACTGGCTTTGCTCTCAAGACACTCACAATTTGGTGACTTCTAGGCTTCTAATACCTTAGATCATAAGACTTGGAACATGAATAATACATGAAATTGTTAACAATCACACATTTCTGAGGTCAGACATAAAAAAAATAAAACCACATTTGGACAGATAAGGAATCTTACCTCTTGGTTTTCAAGTAAAGGGAAGTCATCACTAAAGCCCACATCATTTGTGATGCTGCTTTCTTTGTCAGACTGCACAGAAAATGACTTAGTGGACTCTATCGGGGATGGCGTGCTAGGCAAGCTGTCTGGCATTTGACTTCCACTATCACTCAGTTCACATGAATCAATTCCACTGAGATCTAAACTCAGATGTGAAGGGTTATTATGCCAGAATTCTCCTCGATTCTCTGATTTGAAAGATAATTCTCCCATCAAGCTATCTTCTTGAAATAATGGTGTGTTCAAGTCTAGGGAGTGTCTATCCTCCAAACTCCACTGATCTGAAGACACATGAGCTGAGGCAAAAGAGCTGATTTTTTCCTCATCTGTCTTTTCATCAGAGGTCCTCTTCATATCTTCAGCTGATATATTTCTATCATTGTCTTTCATTACAACAGCCCTACTGTGCTTATGAAGAGTATTTCCATTTTCAAAATTTGCTTTTAAAAAAAGTCTAACTAAAGTGTCTTGCCAACCCACTTGTTGAGATATTTGATGTGCTGCATCTGGCTCGGACTGTAAAATCTGTAAAATCTGTGAAGAGATTAAGAATGCAAAATTCGTCAAAAAGTGTACAGTACTTTACATCAAAAAGTTTCTTTTCACCTATTTTAATGACAAAGTAATTTAATAAGAAACTTTGGAAGGATATACTTTCAAACAATTATATTCTTAACAAGATTAGAAAATATGTGGACAGCAGATATTGTGTTTTTAACTAATCTGCATATTACTCATTGTATATCTAGAGTTGGGATGTACTCAAATATTTGCTGGAAGATAAAAAAGGAAAAACAAAAAAAACACAAAAAACACACACACACACACAAAACAAACAAACAAAAACACACACACACACACACACACACAAAAAGGAAAAACAGATAAAATAATCCTCCACATACCAACATACTCATGTTATTAATTTAATTTGGTTGGAGAAAAAAATATAGATAGAATTAAGGTATATATAGAATGTAATAAAGTTATATCCTCTCAACTAAGTACTTTCCATGAGCCTAGTACATTTGTTTAGTAAATACTGAACATCCACTATGTGCCAAGCACAGTTCTGGAACTATGGTTAGGGAGTAAACTAGAACACATAAGAAACTTTGACAGAACCTAGGTACACCAAGAATGTTTTCCCACCTCATTTTCCCTCAGGCAAAGTTAATGGCTGCTTTTGCAAAAACATTTTTTTTCCATTAACTCTACATGGTACAAACAAAACAAAAACTGAACTTTAGTTCCAGAAAACTATTTCCAATGACATGGATGCTGATATTTAGCTAGAATAAGAAACTGAAATTAAGGAGTAGACATTTACATGGCAATGTGTATGATCTCTAGTATCCCAACTGACTTCACATTTTTTGGATAAAAACAAGTTCTCAAACACTATCAGAAATGCTGTTAAGATCTTTAAGACATTTTAATCACAAAGCCAATAAACTTCTAAGTAGATGAAAAGAACTTTGGCTCCCAGTGTTTATAGAGTATCTTTTTTATCAGAATTTCTAACTCTGACAAATTTCTTAGCAGGAAATGAGTTATGTTGGTGCAGACTTCAAAATTAATGGTTCTTATGTACACTGATGCTGATATAGAAAGCAGTGAGTCGCAGTGAGTCATGATGACACGTTTCATTCCTCACTTAATGCCATCAATCAGTGAGCTACCTTTACTGCAGCAGTGCACAATAGCAATTTTAAACACATTAACTAAGTTGAACATATTAACCTTTGGTTGGCAAAGAAATTTTTCATGATTTCATGACTTTAAAATTTTCAGACTTATTTTACAGCAATTTTATAAACACATAATCAATAAAAACTGGGCTGTACTGAAAGAGGTTTCTAATTGCACACCGAAAGGAAAAGGATCCATTTACATGACCTGCTTCAAGGAAAACATGGCAAAATCCATTAAAATGTAAAATGTGAATACTCTTTGACAGAAAAATTACGTTTCATGAATTATGTCCTACATATGTATTACCATGGATAGGTAAAGACAGATGTAAAAAAATGTTCCTAACAGAAGTTTGTTAATATGGTAAAACAGGAAACAATCTAAATGTCCATCAGCTGGGAACCAGATAATACTTTTATAGAATAGCCATAGAATAAAAAACTACATAGCTGTTAAAGAGAAAGACATATCCAGATTTACTGATGGAAAGGTACTGTGACATAATTAGGGAGTAAAATTAAAAAGAAAAACAAGGAAGCAAATTAAATACTAGACTGGTCAGTGGTTGCCAGTAGAGGAGAGAGAAGGATACAATCAGGAAGAAGCGCACGGGGTAACAATGCATCGACTTAGAGGTTAAATGAGTGGACTGAAGGTAAATCATTGTTGGAATACACTCATAAACTACAGAAAATCTTTTCCACAAAGGTTAAGAGATTCATAAACTCTAAAATATGGTGTTTGAATTAAAAATGGTCACAACAAAAGGTTCTGAATAAAGAAAATATTCTCTGGTAATACATTTTTGACTCTGGAAAGGGCATTATTTCCAGGAGCTCATGTATGGCTAAGAAGAACAAATTTATATGCTGATTTCTTATGATTATATAAAGTTAATTCACCTCAAAAAAGGAAACTATAAAACTATGTCATATAAAAGATATTAAACTTATATCTGGTGAAAAATACTCAATCTAAAAGTTCTTCACAATACAACAATACTGCAATTTTTAAAGTACATCTTTAAAGTTTACTAACCTTTCTGCAGATGACCACCCTGACATTTATACGTGCTCTGTGAGATATATATACCACAGATAACAGATCTTTGAAATTAATAGCAGGATCTATGATGGGAAAAAAAAAGTTAAATACTAGAGAAAACCAGAGAAAGAACTGTGGTAATAGTTATATATAAAGGCTGACAATCATTTCATTTTTATTTTTTTCCTGCTGTCAACAACAGATGCCCTTTATTTTTCCCCCAACTTTATTAAGATATAATTGACATAAAACACTGTTTAAGGTATAAAACATGATGATCTGATATATGTATATATTAAAAAATGATTACACAGTAAGGTTAGTTAACACACCCATTATCTCACATAGTTACTATATTTCTTTTTGTGGTGAGGACACTTAAGATATGTTCTCTTAGCAATTTTCAAATATACAATACAGTATTGTTAACTATAGTCACCACGCTTACCTTAGATCCCCAGAACTTACTTATAACTGGAAGTTTGTACCCCTTGTACCTTCACCTGTTTCCCCCACTGCCCCAACTCTGGCAACTACCAACCTACCCTGTCTCAATGTTTTTTTTTCACATGTAAGTGAGATCACAGAGTATTTTCCTTCTCTGCCTGACTTGTTTCACTTAGCAGAATGCCCTCTAGGCTCTTATTGAAAATGGCAGGATTTCCTTCTTTTTTATGGCTAATATTCCATTATATATATATATATATATATATATATATATATATATATAT